ATAAAAGGGCTAAGAATTAAATATCTGCAAAATGCACAGTGATACAGCATAGTCATCTAAGAGCTATTAAATGCTGTTCAGCAACAGTCCAGTCTAGCTGGCACCACAGAATTTAAAGAATCCTGAAAAGGTTTATTTTAGCACTGTAGTGCTAAAAGCTGGGGAATCACTGGGTCCCTGCTAATGTGCCATCTTCCAACAGGCCATCAAAATCTCAGATACCTCCACCCTATCAGTCTTTCACAAATCATTTTTGTGATGTTGCACCCTATAACGCTTTATGGAAGTATGCTTATGAATGTAAATATGACATAACTGGAATATGTTTTATGCTACATATGCCATGTAACAGATCTCTAAAAAGGTTATGATTTACTGAATATATTCATCCTATTTGTATGGATGGATCATTTTTGTATTCGAAGTTATGAATATTGGCTGTGTACTTGTTTGATTTTAAATAGCCTTAGTAAGGCATTTGGTCAGCTTCTTTAGAAAGGAATTTGCAAGTTAAGTGCCCAATCAAAAAACACTTAACGGACAATGGATCTTGGAAGACTCCAATCCACATAAGAAGTCTACCTGAGGACGTTGAAGGTAGCATGTGAACAATGGCTGTCACCTGTAAGGAAATGAGTCATACATGGACACGTGACTTGCCCACGTGACTCCAAAAACTCCATCTTGTAGCTGGGATTCTATACAAGGGGCAGGAGGGGTCTCCACCCACAAGAGAAAGTCTATATAAAGTCCTGGGAGACCCCTCCATTTGGTCTTCAGCTGGCTCCACCCCCAAAGGATACCTGAAAGAAACTGGAACAAAGGACAGTAACCATAGGGATGTGAGTGATTGCTGGACCCAGACTAGAAGGAGGCTAGTCTGTAAAAGAAGTTTACTGGAACATCTCTGAGGGTGAAACTTCATCTGTAATCACTTCCTTACCGTATTAGGTTTAGACTTGCGTGTTTTATTTTATTTTGCTTGGTAATTCACTTTGTTCTGTCTGTTATTACTTGGAACAACTTAAATCCTATCTTTTGTATTTAATAAAATCACTTTTTACATATTAATTAACCCAGAGTATGTATTAATACCTGGGGGGGGGGCACAAACAGCTGTGCATGTCTCTCTATCAGTGTTATAGAGGGCAAAAATTTATGAGTTTACCCTGTATAAGCTTTATATAGGGTAAAACAGATTTATTTGGGATTTGAACCCCATTGGGAGCTGGGCATCTGAGTGTTGGAAACAGGAACACTTCTTAAACTGTTTTCAGTTAAGCCTGCAGCGTTTTGGGGACGTTGTTCGGACCTGAGTCTGGATTTGTAGCAGGCTAGCATGTCTGGCTCAAAACAGGCAAGGTTCTGGAGTCCCAAGCTGGCAGAGAAAACGAGCTCAGGGGTAGTCTCAGCACACCAGGTGACAGTTCCCAAGGGGTTTTCTGTGACCCAACCCATCACAATTTTATGTTACAGTCTGTTTACACATGCTTGAGAAACAAACCCCACAGACACAGATCAATAAACTATACAGTGGCAGAATGGTAGTGCCAACGGAAGGTGTTCTATGCCTGCAGTGTACTGGAAGGGGGGGGGGGAACATAGTAGGAAATCTGGTCAGTTTCTCAACTTCAGAATTATCAGCAGAAATCAGAATTCTTTTCACCAACACAAGTTATTTTAGATGTGAATATATTCTATTGTTTATGGGAGATTAGGGGCACATGTCACATTATTGGACTGCAACACATTTGGTCAACTATTGTGTCATACAAATTTTTGCCTGGTGTTCAGATATGAGGCAGTCTAGGAGAATGATAATAGCAAATACAGCCTTTTTTTTCTTAACTTATTGTATTGGGCCATATGCTAACATCCTGAAATGAAAAAAATATAATTCCATATACCTGTCTCTCCTCTTTTTCACTCATGTTACATTTTGCTGTTCATGACCGAGGATATGTCCACACAAGCAGTGCTACAGGGCACAGTGCTGCAGCTATGCCACTGTAGTACTGCAGCACAGTTGCTTCAGCGACAGAACAGGTTTTTCCTCACTGTAGTAAGTCCATCTCTTCGAGAGGCAGTAGCTAGGGTGATGGAAAAATTATTCCATCAACCTAGCTGAGCCTATAATGGGAGTTAGGATGTGAAATTTTTCAATGGAAAACTTTGATTTTGCTGAAATTTTCCTTCGGGAAAAGAGACAAAATATTTCATTTTGAGTCAGTTCAACATTAAATTGTATTTTCATGTGGTGCCACAATGCCTCATGGGAGTAGTAGTTTGGGTACTTCATGTCCCTATTCTCCCCTATGGACTGGGCACTTTTGCCAGATTACATCTTCCATGATGCACTCCTGTCTTCTCTCTGACTCATCCACATGGTGTGTCACAGGAATCACATGACTACAAGTGCACCATGGGAGATATAGTCCAACCAGGAAGCCCAGCCCATAGGAGAGAATGGGGGCCAAAGGGACCCAAACTACAACTCTCATGAGGTACTGTGGTACCTTAGTACACACAAATTAATAATTAAACATTTTAATTCAGTTCAACAAACTAAAAAATAAAAACATTTTGATTTGGGAATGTCAAAATGTTTTGTTCCAATCAAAAATCTGAAAACAAAGTGTTTCTAAATTTCCATTTTTTTAAAAAGAACTTTTAGTTCTGTGAAAAGTTTTGTTATTTCAATGTTGTATCCCAATTCAGGATGAAAACAAATGGCAAAATATTGAAATTTCCCAAAGGGCAAAAATTTCAATTTTCACTCAACTAACAACAAACTGGAATAGTTACTTCTGGAATGCCTCTCCAGACTATTCAGTCCACACTTCATTAAACAGGAAGAACTAATGACATGTCAGGATTGCTTTTACGTCATATACTCCAAATCCCTAGTCTTTAAAGGGCACACTAACTGCCCTATGTTGGAGTCTTACTAGGACTTGGTTTTCTTGGTCTGTAGCTACCAAAACATAGAAAAACTACACTAACAGTCTCTCCACTTAAGTTAGGACCAGACAAAGTTTAAGGGGTTGAAAAGGAAGGAGAAAAGACCACAGCAACTCTCCTCTTCCATCTACCTGTCTGTTGCGTGAATGGGGAGAAAGGTTGAAGAGAACTAACTGTACTTAATAAAAGGTTCTAGCTGTGAGTATACAGCCTCTGCTCTAATGGTGCTCTCTCTTCAGCAATATGGCTCTACACTTGGCCCCCTGCAGGGCTGTCACTAAATGGTACAAACTATCTCTTAGGGAGAAAATCTGCCTTATAAAGTTTGATACAAAATATAGTCACTTTAAAAAGGAGAACTATCTTTCTTATAATGTGTCCCCAAATTTAACAGATCTGGTAGCAATATTTCAGCAGATGTTTTCTCATTGGTTGTCATAAAAACTATTTGTGAGTGGGAGAGTATAAACACAGTTTGTACTATGCAGTATTCACCAAATATGTCCACCACACATGATTTTACAGCACTGCTTCCAAAGATTAACACATTTATAATACTCTGAGTTCTATTAGCCATAAAAGGTCAAACTTCAAAGCAAGAATGCACAATTTCAGATACACAGATATATTTTAAATGTAACAGAAGTACTACTATTACTTGCGTTGAGGATGTGAATATTTTGAACTTTGGTTTCATTCTGAATTACTACTGAACATCCAAATGAATAAATAGCTCAGGGTATTTCTACACTGCCCACGTTACAGTGCAGTCGCGGCAGTACTGTGACATGGGCAGTGTAGACACACTTTATCCCCGGGGGAGAGCTCACCCGGCGATAAAAAAAAACAACCCACCCTGAACAAGGGGTGGTAGCTTTATCGCCGGGAATGCAGCTTCTGGCGATAAAGCGCTGTCTATACCGATGCTTTTCAGCACTAAAACTTTTGTCGTTCAGGGGGGTGTTTTTTCACACCCCTGAACAACTAAAGTTTTAGTGCTGAAAGTGGCAGTGTAGAGATAGGCTCAGTCTAGCACGTACACTTTATAAGACTTCAGTATTTGACAGTTAGGAATGTTCTGTAGTACACGTAGGGACTTGTCACCACTGCAGTTGCTCAAGTTACAGTTTGAGCTATTACCCCAAATGAGAGTCCTGTCCACACACACAAGCCCTTAATTTAAATGTGGTGGTGCTTTTATCTCAAATTGGCTGGCCCTCCAGGGGTATAGGCTACAGCTCGAGTTAATAACTCATCAGCTGCTAACACAATCTCTCTGTGTAGCTCAATTAATATTTCACACTGTAGCTGCTCTCACTCAAGCTAGGCTAACACTAGAAAAGTAACCTGAGTTATCTACACACTGCAGTGTTAACTCGAGGTGACAAGAACTTTACATGTTTTTCCATCCACAGCCAAAGGGCCAAAGTCTGATCCCTTAGAAGTCAGTGGCGCAACTTCCGTTGACTTGAGCAGGATCAGTTGTTCGCCTGAAGTATTGTATGCATGACGCTATATGTTGCAATGTTGGCAAAGGACTTAGAACAATTAGTGTCTGTTGGTTTTTTTAATAGCCTATGAGTTCTGTGATGAAGGTGGGTAATGGAAAGAATAAGCAGCTTTCTTTGAGATAGCTCTCAGGAAACTCCTAGAAGTTCCTGTTCTCAGGGACTGCATAAGACCCTGGGGGAATTTTGGCATGTGTTTTGCTTCTAAAATGCTGGAATACAGAAAAGTGGTTAAGAAACAAAAGCCATACTACAGAGGTCAGCACCAAAAAAATCACTATTTGTCTGAGCTTCCGTAGCTGAAAACTGCAATAAGCTCACATCATTCTAGCTACTGGAGTCTACTTTGAATGAAGCTATTCCAACTACCCACAATAACCACTTTGAAGTGTCTTGCAGCTTTAACCATTTTGAGTATGAATCTGGGAAGGAGAAGCATTGCATCTTGCTGTGTTTACTGGAATGGTTACAGCTTTATTCAGTAGATTTCTATTGGTTCTTGATGTGTTACTCCATTATTAGTTATCTGTATTGTAAAAGCATAGAATCAGGAATTAGGACCCCATTGTTCTGGGCACTATACACACACAGAAAAAAAGAGATTGTTCCTGCCCCCAAAAGCTTACTATAAGACTCATTTCACATTATTAATATTTTCTCTTTAGCAATAGGCTACAGCTCAAGTGATGTAGAAAAGAATGTCAATTAAAGACCTGTTCACAATGGAGCACCAAACCATGCTGGCTACCACTGTAATCAAAAACTATTAAGCATGGTTCTGCTGGAGTGGTGCTGCAGTACGGACAGGACACTATGCCAAGTGGTGAGATGAAATACTCAAGTCTACTTCTCTTCCTTGAAATCAGGATTAATTGACATGTTCTAAAAATGATTCTCAAACTAGAGCTAAGCAAACCATTCACAGTAAAATGTTAGTTCAACAAATTTAGCCCATCTTTGTGTTTGCTAATTATCTGCAAACAGAGTTTGCCTTGCTAGTTATTTGAAAAAGATTTGCGGAATGGCATTTTGAGCATACTTCCCACTCATGGATTGCTCGCAAACCATTTGCTACTTTAAGTATTCACTATTCATAATTTCCTGTTTGTGCTGTATGCAGGGCCGGCGCAACCCATTAGACGACCTAGGTGGTCGCCTAGGGCACTACAATTTGGGGGGCGGCGACCGCGGCGGTATTTCAGCGGCGGGACCTTCCACTGCCTCTGTGGGGAGCGGCATTTCGGGGCTGGACCTTCCGCCGCCTAGGGCGGCAGAAAAGCTGGCAGTGCTCCTGGCTGTGTGACTGGCCACCTAAACAGATGGCACTGTTTCTGCTCCCTGAATGGGTGACTCCCATTCCAAGCCCTTTCAAAATGGCTACAAAAACACTCCTTTGAAGATACTTGTGGAAAACACATATTTGTAGGGTTTTTTATGACACCTCTTTCTGTGAATTGTTTTGCAAAAAACCCACACCCCCCATACACAAACATCAAACACCAATTGTTCATTTAAATGTTGGTAACAAGTAAATACCGTAAATGGAATTGTAATTAAAATAAAAGTATATTTCCTTAGAGGATAATTAATGTTCACAAATACTTTTCCACAGTATTCAGGGGTCTAATAATAACAAGTGTTGTAACTGGATTAAGTATAGATCCAAGTTATGTTCTTTCTGCTGGGCATTACAAATCTATGAAAATAGTTTACCACATTATAACAAGCTCTAATGGATCAGGCCTAAGGTAGCTGGCAGGCATCAGCAGACCAACACTGACAATGCACTAGCCGAACAACTTGGAACCAATCAAGTGGTGAAAAGAGAACCTGTAACTGAAAGAAGGGAGCTGATTTATTAATTTGATTTAAAAGATTGTCAGATTAAAAATCACATTTTTAAGGAGAAAAGTTCCTTACTTGCACTGTTAATAAATTAGATTATTAAAATGGACACAAATTTAAAAATCTAACTTAATTTTCACAAATTTTTCTTGTTTTATTATGTTTTCCATTGAATTCAGATTTAATTGAATCATGGAAACAGTTGTCAGGAAAGCTTCCCTTTGTCCTATAGCCCATCTGTAGTCAGGTTCACTTTGTAGTTTGTGGTCCAGTGGAGTAGAGTTTGAGTTGCAGACCATACAGGGGAATGTTGAAATTCAAATTAAGACCACTTTTTTGTGTTCAAGAAACATTTATAACAACACACAAAAACCTTATATTTTAGCTATGATTTACTTGACAGAATCTCTTTAACCTTAGCTTCTAGATTTGAAGGTGAATTTTACAATTTAGTATTTTAGAAACACCAGTGCTTTTGTAATGCACATAAAGGTGATATGCAAGGAGGAAAAATTGGGCTTGTGCCCTTTTTAGCTGCTCTAGGATATATCCTGTTAAAAGGTGTGCCTGCCCTGTCTCACCACCTGCTTGCCAAGAATGGCTCTGCTGACCCCTGCCTCTGTTTCCCCTTCATGCAGGATCCATTTAAAAATCCACAGAATCCAGATATTCAAAACATTCCCTTTCTGGGGTGCAATTTATTAAGTCCTGCACAAAGTCTTTGAAAATAGAACTCAACCCTACAGTTTTCATCCCAGTTTCAGCCTCCTTCTTGAGGGTCTGCCTCTCCTTAAAAGTGATTTATCTTGCCTCAGTCCCAAGCTGGGCACAGCCCTTCCTCCCTGAGGGTCTGTCTTTCTGCTCTCCCAGCACCTCTTGCCTGGATTTGGCCTTCTCCACAGGCCTTCCCCACTGGTATTTCTCCCCCCTGCTGACGCAGAGCCCTCCAGGAGTCTAACTCCCTACAGTGTTTCTCAGGCATCTGCCTACTACTACCACCTGCAGCTGTCTCCCCCTTTGTAAAAGAGAAGGTTACTCACCTTGTGCAGTAACTGAGATTCTTTGAGATGTGTGTCCCTGTGGGTGCTCCACTTCAGGTGTTGGTGGGTCCCAGCGCTGCTGATTGGGGATTTTCGGTAGCAGTGCCTGGTCAGGACGCGCACGTGCAGTAGCTGTCTCGTGGTGCCATTGGCGATTCAACTAGTGCCTGTGCGTCCCACACCCCTCAGTTCCTTCTCAACCTACCACCGTTAGGGTTTTGGCAAAGATTCATGGAACCGTTGACAGTCCGAATGGCAGTACTCTGTATTGGAAGTGATCTTGTTCCACTGTGAATCGTTAGCCACTGCTACTGAAAATCTCCGATCAGTAGTGCCGGGATGCACCGACACCTGAAGTGGAGCATGGACAGGGACAGTACACAAAGAACAGCCTAGGTGCCTTCCCTTAAGCCCAACTGGGCAGCAGGTAATCAGTCCAAATGAAATGGACCCCATTCCCTCTTAAAGGGGCAGTCACCCTTTGATATGTCCCTATCCCTCCAGTGGGGCACAGGCCATCTCCCCAAATATCTGCCCACCAGAGAAGCCTCCAGGTTTCTTCACATTTGTCTTCCTGCTGCAAATAGCACAATTTTGAGGTTTCTCCTCCATAGCAATTCCTCTCTCCATCTCTTCTCTGTGTCCCCACCACTCTCCTCAGCTCAGTAATTGAGATCTGGTATGGGAGGGAGAACTGCCACTACCACCCCATCACTCACCGATGACCTTTAATTCTTCCAGCTAGATTTTTCTTATTTATATGACTGCCAGATTACAGCCTCTTATCCTCACACATGGAAAGTCTAGCTGAAACACAACCAAAGCTGACAGATAACTAAGGAGTTGCAGTGGGGGGAGGTTTAGATTGGATATTAGGAAAAACTTTTTCACTAGGAGGGTGGTGAAGCACTGGAATGAGTTACCTAGGGACGTGGTGGAATCTCCATCCTTAGAGGTTTTTAAGGTCAGGTTTGACAAAGCCCTGGCTGGGATGATTTAGTTGGGGACTGGTCCTGCTTTGAGCAGGTGGTTGGACTACATGACTTCCTGAGGTCCCTTCCAACCCTGATATTCTCTGATTCTATTCTAGGATTCTATAATTTAAAATTACAAAACAGATTTGTCAAAAACTGGACACGTTTTCTGAGGATTTATTTCCCTCCAACTTTGTTCAATTAAAAAAAAAAAGATGGCAAACTTAGTTAGATGAAACTATGCTTACAGGAAAGATCTGAATGGTGCTGTGAGGGCCAAATTTAATAGAATGGGGATTTAAATATGACCAGAGAAAGTCACCACTGCAGAAAACAAGCAAAGACATTTAATATTCTGACTAAGTTGTTGTACTTACCTGCATATCCTCCAGCTTGCTTTCCAAAGACTTTTTCACCAACAGCAGTTCCTTTCCCTCTTCCCCAGCATGTGCCAGGATATCTTCTAATTGTTGCTTTTCTTTCTACAATACAAAAGTTTGATAGATTCAGGAATACTGATGTTGCTTTCTCTCTAATCTGCCTTCAGAAGATCTGCAAGCATAAACATAAAACTGCAAACACTTAAAAACATTTTCACTGGCTTCCTCTTGCCTTCTACATCAAGCTCCTCTTCCACACCTCCAGGACTCCACATTGCACTGCTTCCTGTCTACAACCTCCCATTTCCTCTTCAACTCACTCAGGCACATCACCAATGTGCCCATCTCCTACTCTTCAGTGTTATTTTCATATTGTCACATCAGCTGAAGCAGCCTCCCTGTACCTGTAGAAGAAGCTCCAGCCTGCTCTCTCCTTCAAGCCCACTGATTTTGCACAGGTTTTACGGCACCAACAATGACTTTGCCTGCCTTCATCTCATCTTTCATTTTTTATTTTTGTGCACTGTACCCATCCAATCATGAACGGGAAGAAAATCACACTAGTTACATGTCTGGTTTTGTAACTTACCTCATATCTCTCTATTTTTTCTTTCATTGTATCTTCTTCTCCTTTCATATTATCAATCTCTTGATGGAGTTCTTTAATTTTGTCCTCTAGCTGTTTAATTGTTCTCTTCAATTGTTCATTTTGCTCAGCCAACTCCTTCACTCGATTTTCTGCACTACTTTGCATCTGTTCTGCAGTGTTTCTTTCACTGGCGAGGGCAGCAGCATTCTAGTAAAAAGGAGAACAGAAACAGTGACACACAAAACCTCCATTTTTAAAGACAGTGTAAAAATATGCAATTTGTTTCCAAAACAGGTCTCAGTCCATGTAATCCTGGATGAAAATTTTAAAGATGGAAATATTTTCTGATTCATATAGATAAAGGAACACTGTCAACTGAAGTTTTTGGCATTTTGGAGCAAAATCCATTTTCGAGTTAAAAGTAAATTAGTTGTACCCTCAGAAAATACACATGCAACCTATGCTCTCGGAAACTTGCTTTTGAGCAAGTTTTGATTCAGAGAAGCACAGTTGCCTGTTTTATGACCATAAACTCCATTTTGAGAACCTAGGCATTCTGAGCAAGCCCAAACTCCCATCCATCTGTGACCTATAACAAGCCAGTTTGCATCCAGATCCCTAGAGCTGAAAGAGTAATAACTCTTCTCCCACAACTAAATTCTGAAACCAAAGATACCATCCATACAAAACTGTGGCTGTGTCAACCTGGAATATTCTATGAAAGGTCAGATTTGTGTGGGCCACAAAGGTGCATTTGTATTACTCGCAGATCCATGAATCACAATACCCAAAGTTACCAGCTATGTAGGTAGGTAAGAGAGTCCTCTTTTTGAAGGCATTATTACATTTTCAAATAATATCTACTATATTTCAGCAGCCTTTTGTCTGTCATCTCATATTCTTACTTCAATATGTTCCATTTTAAGCCCCTAGGTAAGTGTAATCTCATGCTTAAATATTTTTTAAAGTTACCATAAAAAAAACCTAATAGATCTCAAGAGAAATGTGAGCCCTTGAGGAGTAAGTTTCTGTGTATTCAGGAGGAGTTTTAATCTGTTTAGCTATAAATGAGTTGCTGTAGGTTATATGTTTTACTAGTTAGGGCAGTGGTGTTGGGAATTTAGCTGCTGGGGTTTTGTTTTATTAACATATGTCGGGGTGCTTAAAGTTTTCAAAAGGATGCTTTTTGTATATTTGCTTAGAAACAAAACAATCCAATGCATTAAAGACAAAATTATAATAAAACTACATCCAATGTTTTCTCACATGACATGGTATTATACTGTGCATTCATAGTTTTTTTTGGCAATGAGGTTGGTTGCAGCATTTGAATCTTTGCTTTGTATAGATCATATGACTTGTATAATATTTGTCCTACTGTTTATATATGGCTATGCAATGAATTTGTTACAGTTCAAAATCTATAAACAGAAAGCTTACTTTAATACTATTTTGAAAACATGAATAAACAGAGTTTAAAAGTAAATTAAATAAAGCTAACCTTGTGCAACTGATAAAGAATTGGGGTTCATTAACATTCAAAATTAAACCCAAGTTAACAAAAGAACAGAGAGTCAGAGACATAAGCCTACCGGTACAGAGAAGAAACTAGTGTATTGAGGAGTCATGGAAATGGCAATGAGAAGGAGGAGATGGTGAGGAATGGTGTCATTGTTATCATTATATGTGGTGTGGCAGGTTGTGGAATGGAAGAATCATATGACAGAACAATCCCGAAAAGAGTTGACTCAAGTGAGCTTAACCATGTATGCAGCATACACATTTTTAAACACTTCAACTCATAGGGGTGACCCCCTAAGTTGACCTGATCTTTGGCCCTTTGCTTATGTTTCATTCAAAACTTCCACCAGGAACGTAAGACTGCTTTGTGATAAAAGGTTTGGTTCTTGATCCTGGACATTTAGGCTCTAATCTTGCAAAGGAATCCATCAGCACAGATCCTTATTTCCAATACAAAATCCCATTGACTTTTGCATTAGTAACTTCAAAAATATTTAAGCACGACATTGTGTATGGGATTATATTTACATTCATCTCAGAAATACAAAATGGATTATCCAGTGTAGGTTAAGTGAATTCTTTTGTAGATAAAGTGAAAAGAGGGGTAGATAGCTATTTTACAATATTTTTGCTTTACCGGCAAAAAATAGAGGTAAGCAGTAATTCATTTGTAAATCGAAACAAAGCCAACTGCTTTTTAAATGGAGATTACTCTCCAGGTGTAACAGGACATATCAGCAACAAAGCTACACCATGCTGTACGATACTAGAAAAATCAACACAGAAGAAGAAGAAGAAGAAAAAAAGGAGTACTGCAAACCTGATTCAAGTTATACAAGAGGCTCTTATTCTACAAAGGACCCTTCACTAATTGTTTTCTAGTAAGCAATAACAAAAATATGCAAATTACTCTGATAAAGCTGTAACTCAGAAATCGCTCAGAGTGTCCATTTGGGTTAATGAACTCTTTATACAAAAACTGGCAACACAAGCAGGATGACAAGTTCTAGTCTTTTTGCAAGTACACAAAAAGGCAGTCAATTTTTCTGAACATACATATTGGTTAAAGAGCTTTGAAATGTATTTCTGCTGATGCTGTAACTTCACATATACTTTTTGGTATATCCTCTGTATTCATTTATTTTTGCTTTTTGTAATGCAGCACAGTTTTACTAATTAGCAGGCACTCTACCAGTGGCTCCTTTTTGTTTCATTTCCCCCCCTTTTACTAGCTGAGTGAAAGAAGCTTAGGCATGCTGGGGAGTTCAGTGAATGGAATGTTGATTTGTCTGTTCTTTCTCATCCAACCGCCTACACACTGCTCCAGAGTTAGAGAACACAGAACAGAAGGCCCATACTGTACCTGAAGTATCCAGCACCTCATCTTGTGTGTTTGGGCTATTCTCGTGTCATATCAATACTCCCCCCCACCCCCCAGAAGCATTATTCATTTAGACTAGAGCACAGTACCTACATCAACAGGAAGCACTGTATGTGAGGCAAAAGGAACTTTACCCACCAGAGTTAAAAGTTAAGAAAGTTCAGCCCCGTCACAAAGGCTTAATACAGTCATATCTCCGGATCTATTCTGACCTGCCTTTTGCTTTATGTATATTATGTATCACTCAAATTAAACCAAATTGGTATTCTCCCTTCTCTTCCACTGCATGTCTTCAGAAACTGGCCAAGGTTGAGGTCAAGCATGTCTAAAAGGGGAAACTTAAAAAGGAACCAACTCTACTGAACAAGTTCCAAGTATTTTCTTCTCCAACATTAGTTAAAATCTTGGGGGGGGGGGAAGGAGTCAGGGGAAAATGTGTGTGTAAGTAAAAGCTGGCTCAGGCAGCCTAAACTTGTGTGACAGCACGTAATCAGCAGCTCACCACAGGTCTCCAATGATCCTGGCTATGTTGCAGGGGTTATACTTTCACATAAATGAACTGTTCCTGAACAAATTCTCTATAATATATTACACCTAGCAACACAAGTGGCTGCAACAAGTTTGTTATCCCATCCTGCCTCCCCACCAGGTTTTGGTCCCAGCCCTGAAGTGGACAGTCACATGCCCGCATAATCAAGCAGGTTTTGGTCACTGCCAGACTGCAGCCTGTGATCCATGTGCTCTACATGCTCTGGTTCTGTTTGGCTGCTGGAAACCAGCAACAGGACATGGTCCTGAGAACAGGGCACCAATCATGTTTCCAAATCTCGTGCCACTGCCAAATACCATGAGACCTCAAGCCCACCCCAGAAGTCCCGTGGGAGCTAGAAATCTCTTGTCCTTTTTGCCCTCTCCCTTCATGAACAGCTCAGGACCCTCTTCTGATTGAATGAAATGAAAAACAAACAAAAAAACCCAGAGTAATTTTTTCTGCTGCTCTACTGTGGAAGTTGATTGCCTCCACTAATTTCAGGGGAGCCACATGCAGGGGACAGACAGGGAAGAGCTTGGGTAGCTCACACTGCCATCTTCTTCAGAGAAGCTATATGAGTGGAATG